AAAAAGATAAATTATCGTGACTCGGTGAATTTTTATGTAAGAGGACTAGTGCTTGGTGCACATAAAGAGTTCATACTACGACTTTTAAAACTCGATCATGTGTCCTTGCTCACATGATAACCAATTGAGTTACTCGTGCAAATAGGAAGGAATAGTCAAATTAGTTTCTCAATCATGCAGTTAGTTAATGTTACTACTAATTATATACTAACGTCATTAACTTAATCGATCTCTCTTGTAGTTGCTAAATCAACAACTTGACTAATTTAACCATTCTTACTTATTTTAAAGACTAAATATATAATATATAATATATAATATATAATTATAAACTAACCCCAAAAAAAAAAAAAAAAAACTTTGTTAGATTAATTAAACATTTTATTACGGAGTATAAGTTTTACCAGAAATTGATTGGATATGCTCATTATTCTCCCATTCATAAAAATCCTCCTTGAACCTAGTAACATGCCTCATTAATATTGATTGCAATTTTTTAATACATTTTTATTATCAAACAAATTTTATGTTATAACAACTTTTAATTTGTAAGAACGAATTGGTAAGATTTTCTCATAAAATATTCAAAAACTTTGTGTGCCCCTTATATGCATATTTTTTTCACTCCCTAGTTTATGGTTGAAAAATGTATACCTTAAATAGATAAAAAAAAAAAAAAAAAAACGTTTACAAGTTTAATAAAACTTGTATCATACTTTAATCCATCCCTCTTCAGACCAAACTTATCATTACTAAAATTTCAACCTTTAGTTTTCTAAATGCAAGGAAAACGAAATACAACCAAACAGAGCAATTAATAAATTTAGGTCTAGCCATTGGGATAAGAATAATGATATATATCTTCATATCATTATTTGAATATGTGCGAAAATTTCAGTGACGTCAAGAAAATATTGTTAAATTACAAATGCTATAATAGGTGTATTTTGTTGACTTTTAAAGTGAGAGAGAACTGCGTGGTAATTAGTAAAGATAGCGTAAAGAATTTTTCAATAGTTGATATTAGGGTGTGTTTGAAAAGAAGAAAAATGACTTTTGAAAAATGTTTTATGGAAATGAATCATTTTTCAGAAATCATTTTCTTTTTAGTGTTTGTTTGCAATCCAGAAAACTATCTTGTGTGTTTGGTTCATTTTCTGGAAAATGAGCATAATTATTTTTAGTTTTAAATATTTAAAATATACAATAGTGGTAGTGGTGGCGGCGACGGGTGATTGGCTGCTCCACTGCTACAAACGAAAAATGACTTCCCCTAAAAAATGGAAGTCATTTTCTGAAAAATCTCCTCTAGTTTCCATTGACCACACCTCTGTTTTTCATTAACTCCATTTTCCCCTCTAGCCAAGCATGGAAAATCTGAAAAAATAATTTGCATAAATCATTTTTGGATTTCCAAACGCACACTTAATCCTTGATTAATCTACTAATGTTTTATTAGGTGGTTTAAAATTTAACACAACCTTTGAAGTGTTCAAATTGTGTTGTGTCACTTACCAAATGCTAGATACTTTGTTACTGAAAAAGACAAAAAGTCAAAAAACATCACTCTGTTTTGTTTGACAGTTTCTTTTGGTAGCTTAACCATTATTTGGTTCAATTAGTTGTTTTGTGAATGTGTTATGATTGTACTGAACTTTTTTTGTATTTGATTATTTTACAAATCCTTTATTAACTCAGGGTGAAATTGACTAATTTATCGCTAGTGAATAAAAATAAAGAATTTTTTGTTTTTTTTTTTTTAAAAAAATCTACAGTTGAACATTAAATAGCAATATTTAGTAGGGGAACAATAATTCTTTATTGGTCTACTGGAATGAGTCAAGCACGTGAATTGGTATCTAGTCAGTACTCGAATAAATGAAGATGGCCGCTATTCCCTTGATGTCCTTTCAAATTAATTCATATATATATTATTTTTAATTTTTAATTTTTAATTTTCTTCTTCCCATACATTTTTAATTTTAAGTTAGATGAATGTTGATTTTAATTGATGACAGGGTATGGTGTGGTGTGGTGTGAGTGTGTTTGTGTGTGTATATATATATATTGTGGTGTGAGTGTGTTTGTGTGTATATATATTGGCGCACTCTCATGCGAACGATCGTTCAGGAGATTGAGTACCATCCAGTGTGCGTCACGAGAGAACCTTTATTTTATTATTATTAGGGAAAATTGTACTTTTTGTCCCTAAGTTATAGGGTAATTGTAGAATTCGTCCCTAAGTGTTGGTCATGCTCACTTTTCGTTCCTAAGTTATCATTGGCGTTGCACTTTTCGTCCCTGAGCTATAAGGAAATTGTAGCATTCGTCCCTAAGTGTTGTTCATGTTCACTTTTCGTCACTAAGTTATCATTGACGTTGCACTTTTCGTCCCTGAGTTATACAAAAATTGTAAATTTCGTCCCTAATCACTACTACATAAATAGTATACTACGTCACTTAATAGACGGTGATTTTTTTAAATAACCGTCGTCTAATATATTGTGTTATACTACGTCACTTAATAGATTACAGTTGTTTAAATAACTGCGTATATAGTTGACATACACGACGGTTGTTTAACCTTCGTATATAGTTAACATACATGGCGGTTTCTAAAACTGCCGTAGAAAGTGTATATTTACAACAGTAGTCACTTACATGCACAACATTTCAAAAACTGTCGTGTATGTGTAAAAAAAAAAAAAAAAAAAAAAAAGGCCGATGGTTATTTAAAATGTATGAAGTAAAAAAAATAATTAAGGTATATACGACGATTATTTAAAAAATCGTCGTCTATTAAGTGACGTAATATAACAAAATATATTATACGGTGGTTATTTAAAAAAATCATGTCTATTAAGTGACGTAATATACTATTTATGTAGTAGTGATTAGGGACGAAATTTGCAATTTTAGTATAACTCGGGGACGAAAAGTGAAACGCCAATGATAACTTAGAGACGAAAAGTGAGCATTGCCAACACCCAAGGACGAATTCTACAATTACTCTATAACTCAGGGACGAAAAGTGCAACGCCAATGATAACTTATGGACGAAAAGTGAGCATAACCAACACTCAGAGACGAATTCTACAATTATCCTATAACATAGGGACGAAAAATGTAATTTTTCCTTATTATTATTATTATTCTTTTAAGAAAAGAAGCAAGAAGCAAGAAGCAATCATATATATTGATCTAGAAATATTTAGGGTGTGTTTGGTTCGCACATGGAATTGAAATAGAATCGGAATGTGAATCAAATACTTAGTAATAGTAATAGGTTTTGGTAAAAGTATTTAGCATATTTGGTAGTAGGGTGGAATTTGACAAATTATATCGTGGACCCTGGTCCAAACACAGAATTTGACTTCATAATACACATAATTCATATTCATAATGCACATAATTCATGTTCATAATACACATACACATAAACACGATATAATGAACATGAATTTTGTGCATTATGAACATGAATTCTGTGTATTATGTTAAATGTTTATATGTCCTTAGGTATATAATACACATAATTCATGTCAATAATGCACATAATTCATGTTCATTATATCGTGTTTATGTGTATGTGTATTATGAACATGAATTATGTACATTATGAACATGAATTCTGTATATTGGACCAAGGTCCACGATATAATGATTGTAATTGGAATGATTGCCAATATTGATGTTTGGTTATGTATAACTCTATAATAGAAATGCAAGTTTTAAAAATACAAAATAAAAAAGCAAGGCAATTAATATTAATATAATGACATCCAAAACCACCAATATGAACTGATAGGGATTAACCCCAACGGTTCATGTAGCGTATACTTGATCGGTACCGGTCTGCCCATCAGGCAGCTAGAGTTGGATCCAAGCATCGCCGATCTCCTTGCACACCCACCCGGCCTAAAAGCCGTGAACGAGTGTAATTCCGCTAGCCAAGCGGAGATCAGTATCAATTGCCATTTCTCGACCAAATTGGGTCGAGACATATCACCCAACCAGCAGTACTTAGAACCTCAAGCCCAGTATCCTTAACCAAATGCGATGACGCGAACTCAGTGGATTCAGGAATCTATGGACACATGGATGAGCCAGTCATCAGGATCCCGGCTTGGCCTTATGCATGCAATCCACGTGCCATGCATGTCGAGAGATCAGTAGTTGTCCCCTTACTCCTACAAATACAACATTAAATGCGAAGAGAGTGGACTTTTGGCATTTTCCACATACTAACTTTTAGCTCGAGAACCTCTGACCCATTGTCACGTAATCCGATCTCAGAGACTTAAACCAAAAGCAGACTAAGAAAATGAACCGAAACCAGAACCAATCCCGGTACCTTACGAATTAGAAGAAATTCCCGCATTTACTACATCATGAATAAAAAATCAAAACAAAAATTTAAAAGCACTAATCCAAACTTAAAAATCATATTACGAATATAAAGTGGAATGATACTCCTTTTTTAATTAGGGAGTGAAGTTCTTAATTGAATGAGTAATCAAATTCTCTAGTTTTATTTTAAAAAATTGTCAACCAAACAATAACTATGATTTTGAATCCCATTCGTAATGCGTAAACACATGAACCAAATACACCCTTAACATATTTGAAATAATTAGAGTACGGTGGTATTTTTGTTAATAATTCAAATATGATAGAAGAGTCAAATAGACTCATACTTCTATTATGCATAATTATTCAACTAACACATTGTAATAGAATTAATAGTATTAAAAAAAGGAATTAATTAACACATGTACATTTTAAAATTTATTTTTATCATTTTTTATAGATTTAAGCGTCGGTATCTGTCGTTCCCACGTAAAACGACCGCCTAACCGCACCGAGCCGTTACCGCGTGATAATACCACCCGAAATAACCACCAACAATTTAAAATTAAAAATAAAAAATACGGAGTAATAATTAACAAAAAATAAAAATAAAAAAAGAATGAACAAGAATGACTAGTACACTTTATCTAGCTGTAACGCTTTTTACGGGCGACTCTGTGGAATACATTACATCTTCTTCATCCTCTACCCAAATCCATCTCTTTCCCTCTCATTGCTCGCGTTCGAGAGCTCTCTCTCTCTCTCCATAGCTCTCGATCGAGCTTTCAATTCCGACAGGTTTGTTTTGCGTAGTGTTTTTTTGGTTGTTTGTTTGATTTTTTAGGAGAAGGAAGAGTGGATTGATATTTGAGGGGTTTTTTGGGTATGGTGGGAGGTGATTTGGCATTTTTGATGTGATTGAGGGTGGGAAATGAACTGCGCCAATAAAATGGACGTGGCGGTGCAGTTGAAGCGGGGGATATCGCGGCAGTTCTCGACGGGGTCGGTGCAGAAGAGCGGGAGGTTCAGCTTCAGGCGCCAGAACTCGCTGGATCCGCGCCGGAATAATATGCGTTTCAGCTTCGGCAGGCAGTCGTCGCTCGATCCGATTCGCCGGAGTCACGCCGATGACATCGACTTGCTCACGGTGCCGGAGAACCTCGACTCAACCATGCAGCTGCTCTTCATGGCCTGCCAGGGGGACGTGGAGGGAGTCAAGGAATTGCTGGATGAGGGAATTGACGTCAATAGCATTGATTTGGATGGCCGGACCGCTCTGCATATCGGGGCGTGCGAAGGCCACGTGGAGGTCGTTAAGCTTCTGCTCAGCCGGAAGGCCAATATTGATGCTCGTGATCGATGGGGGAGCACGGTAAAGCTTGCCTATACTTTTTTTTTTTTTCCCCCCCTGAACTCTTACTTTTTTGATTATTTGGCTTGTGCTGTTATGAATATGTGAGATATATATACAAAGTGCTGAAAGTTCTGGCCTGATTTTTTGTGTGGCAAATTATGATTAGAATTTAGAACATTAGAAGAATATAGTGGATGAATAGGATCAGAAACTCTTGAGATTGGATCCTGCAGCATCACTTTTTAGTGCAATAGCAAGCACCAATAGAACAAATGACTTTTCGCTTTTAGCCTGTGTTTTACTTGGTTTGCGATCTGTAATTATTGTTTCTTGCAGTAAATCTATGAATTTTTATGTTGCTTGTGAATTATGACAGGCAGCTGCTGATGCCAAGTATTATGGAAATGCTGATGTCTATAATATCTTGAAGGCCCGTGGGGCCAAAGTTCCAGTAAGTGATACCAAGTTCATACTTCACATTCAGACTTTTTATTTACTTGGCCCTTATAAGTGTATTCCATATTGCTAGAAAATCAGAAAGACACCTATGACTGTTGCTAATCCCCGGGAAGTTCCAGAATATGAACTCAATCCACTGGAGCTTCAAATTCGCAGAAGTGATGGAATCAAGGCAAGATCTATGTTCTCTCCTTGTATATTTTCCTTAAAACGTAATAATTCTTCTGTGCTTATTTCCTCTTACATTCTACATGCAAATCTTGTTCCCAAGCAAAATGAAAGTTGATGAACTATTTTCTGTTTGACTGAGATATTTCTGTTCAATTCAGTCTCCCATGGTCGAAGTATATAGTCTCTGATTCCAGATCCACATTATCAGTAGCTAAGCACCTTTTGAGGCTAGGCCTATAAAATGCTAACCCATCTGGGGTACCCAAAAAGAAAAGGTGGTCATTATCCCTATTATGTGATGCCATTGGCATAAAGATAACCTGTCCACTGTTCCTGAAAACAGTGACCAAGATCTAAACCTGAACATAACGAAAGCTGCATATAGGGAAGCAATATGCTATATGTTGAATAAAGATACAGTGTTTGTGTGAACATCCATCTTCTTTAAGGATTTTTGTTACTGCCACTAACTACACCCAATCCATAGCTCCCCGTTGTCATATTTGCTTCTCACCACTGGAAAAGAGAAAGAAGTAAACTATTTTAACTCTTGCATCCTGACTGCATCTCTATGTGGTCCAACACCACCATTATTTTGTTTAAAATCTATTTAATTTCCTTGAGCAGGGATCATATCAAGTTGCTAAATGGAATGGTACCAAGGTTTCTGTGAAGATTCTTGACAAGGATTCCTATTCAGACCCTGAAAGCATGTATGAATTCACCTGCTCTTGAATATTCTTAAAATTGTGCTCACTAATTTTCGAAGGAAGTTTCTATTTTCTGTTTAAGAATTGATCAGTCCACCATTAAGTTGTTTTAGGAGTGAAGGATTTCTTTCTTCTTGTTCAGAAGTTCTAAATTTTAATGGCTAACACATTTTTTTTTTCAATTCTTTATTCTTGCATGCAGAAATGCTTTCAAACATGAACTAACATTGTTAGAGAAAGTACGGCATCCTAATGTGGTTCAGTTTGTTGGAGCTGTCACCCAAAATATTCCAATGATGATTGTTTCCGAGTATCATCCAAGAGTAGGAATCTCTCTCTATATCCCCCTCAACCCCCAGTAGCCCTTTCCCTCTTACCAATCCATAAATCTATCTACATTTATAGTGCATTTCTTTGACTCTCTTTAGATGGTTTAAATGATTTGATGAGCATAGGACATTAAGTTTTATTGCCCTTTTTGCTTCTGAGTTGTGCAGTCTTTTTATTTGAATATATATGATGAAGTATTTGATGTCTCTATTATGTACAGTTTACCAAAATTTATTAGCTTCAGAAGTGGAATGTCATTATCATAAAATTTACTGCTGCCAATTTTTCAGGGCGATCTAAGTATCTATCTTCAAAAGAAAGGACGCCTATCTCCTTCTAAATCCCTAAGATTTGCTCTTGATATCGCTAGGCAAGTACTCTCTTTGTCAAGGATGTACTTAAATGAGTATTGGTGCTTGAATCACTTTTCTGATCTTACTCAACATGCATAGTGAGTTGATTGCATAATATACTTCCCCATTTTCTACTTATTCTGTTAGTTGACTTTTGCCTTTGTCTTTTTAGGGGCATGAATTATCTTCATGAATGTAAACCAGACCCAATTATCCATTGTAGTTTACAGCCAAAGTAAGGAAACTAAATGCTTGAGTTTATTCTCAGGTGTATAATTCCCATCATATTCTACACTTATTGAGATTTGCATTGTTCTTAATATTCAAATTTTGGTAAGGTGCCAGAAACGTTTTGCTGGATGATGGAGGTCTGTTGAAAGTTGCAGGATTTGGTTTAATTAGGCTGTCAAAAATTTCTCCTGACAAAGCAAAGTTGGTGCAGCCACATGCCTATGACCGTAAAAGTATGTTAATGAGACTATTCCATGTAGCATAATCTTTAATTCTGAGAAACCAAATTGTGGCATTCTAATTCATTAATATGTTCAGATTACAGCTGAATTTATGTGATAAAGTGACATATGTTGTAAATTGTAGGTTACTATGTGGCACCTGAGATTTATAAGGATCAAATATTTGATAGAAGTGCAGATGTATACTCATTTGGTATAATACTTTACGAGGTATATTTTTCATTTGATTTGTTTGTTTTAATCTGGCATTTGATGGAAACAGGTTGCATATTTATTTTTAACTAATTTTAGCTTCTCACCCAAAGCATCTGAAATATTTGAGAGTAAAGGACATTTTTGTAATTGTGTACTTGTATTTATCATCCCTCTCTCTCTCAGAGAACCAACCTTGTTTTCATCTGCAGCCATTTTCACATTGTTTTTTAGTAGAAAATTTTCTGCTCGCTCCCCACCCCCATTTTTTTTTTCCTTAGCTTAATTTGTATAGCTATTAAAGTCTGCAAGTAGTCAAAAATAATTCTAGATTATTACAATTGATTCCTTTAATTTGGTACCAGATGGTGGAAGGATATCCTCCTTTTCATCCAAAACCTCCTGAAGAGGTTGCTAAGTTGCTATGTTTAGAAGGAAAAAGACCAACATTCAAGACAAAATCCAAATATCCTCCTGATTTGAAAGAGTAAGACTGAATTTGCTTTTGTTTTCAATATTTTGGCTACAATCAAGTGTTTTGACTGTTGAAGTGCAATTATATAACTTCAAAAATAGTGCTCTGCTTTTATTTGAGCATCTATGGTATAGTGCTGGTTATTTAAATGGGAAACAATACCATTGCCAATCATATTCTGCACACATGAATTGTGATTTTTCAATTCCACATTGCCTCTCTGAATATCAAATATTTGACATGCATATCCTTCTGCAATATCCCTCACATAAGTTTACGACAAGCTGAGGAGTATCACATAAATTGGAATTTAAGTAATTTCAACTCCCACCCCCCCACCCCCACCCCCCGATTTATTTGCTTTTTAGGATCATTCTAAGGTTATTTGTGCTTCTCCAATTGATTTAACTCCGTTATAGGTTGATTGAAGAATGTTGGAATCCTGATCATGTTGTGAGGCCAACATTTTCAGAGATCATTCTACGGACAGATAGAATCGTTACAAATTGCTCTAAACATGGATGGTTGAAGGACACTTTTAAGCTTCCTTGGTAATGCTTCAATTTACATTATTCTACTATGTTTCTTTACAAATTTTGCTAGATTCATCTCTATGAATAAGTTGATCGCTGGAACTTCTATGCACATATTATACTAGGCCACATAAGTTCGGAACACATGACAATTATCTCTCATACACAGTACATGTCTAATTTACGGTGTAATAAAATCAATTACCATTACACCAGAAGCCGGTAGTGAACGTGCAACTTATTATCTTCCTTGGGGTTCGTCTTGATGTGACTAATTCCAGGGTGGTGCTAGAATGTTCACACTGCTTGCTTAACTTGAGCTCCTAAAAACTGACTTCTTTAACGGAAGCGGTTACTTTGTGTTTCGAATTGAGATTCACACAGCATTGAGATACGCCTTTGCATTGATTTCTATTCCAGCTATTCCCACTTCTGATCTACGATTTGATTTTGGTATTTTGGTCTTACCAATTGTTCCTAATGTATAAAGTTGTCCCCATTTTGCAGGTTATAAAGGACACATCGAAATGGTATTTATTATCGAGAGAATGGGGAAAGATTTTGATCGAGCAGAGGAGATTATTTGGACGAAGCTTGAATACAGACATCCTTAACGAAATTCGTACAGGCTTCACCCATGTTGTAAGTTTATATAAGATTGATAATTCGTGGACCGATGGTCGGGCTTAGAACAGAAAACTTTCCTCAGTAGATTTTATCAGAGCTGATGAATCTCTCTCTCTCCCTCTCCATTGTACGTATGATATGTCAAGCTTAATTCCTAGACGATTGTTATACACGGTGAGTGAAGTAGAAACATTTGTATTATAAGGAAAAAACACGGAAGTGATTTAAGATTGAATGTACATGTTACTTTCTTTTTTTTTTTTTTTTTTAATCCCCATATCTTCACAATATTTCGACTTTACTAATTTATGTTTTTGTCGTCCGTGATATTGCAACTCAATAAATTGCCGGGTATTGAGTAGTCTACTGCTCACCGGGATATAAATATTTTCAAAAGGATGAAATGAGTATTATTCTACAGAAGTAACTACAAGATACAAGAGGCAAATTATATCATTTAGATTAAAAAGTCATGAAGTTTAAACTAATGTTGTCGGTTCATAAAAAAATTAGATTAATAAAAATAAAATTGCAGGTTCATAAAAATATAATGATACCAATTAATCAATCATCATTTAAATATATTATCCTTTATATTTATTTTTTATAAATAATATCAATATATAAAAATATAAATCGTTAAAAATATCAATGTGACATTTGAAATGGCAATTATATTGATTTATATTTTTCAATATATCATTTCAATAATTGTGTAATGAATATGTAGTAGAGATATTATAAACTTATAGTTGTAACTTTATGAATGTGACTTTATGAACTTGTAATAGTGATTTTATGAACTTAGAGTAGTGCATTTATTAACCTGCAGTGATGACTTTATGAACCTAAGATAGTATAGTAATTTTATGAACAATTTATATATTTGTAGATTTACTAAAAAAATTAGAAAAAAATATGATTCAAAATATCTCAACAATAACTTTTTAATGAAATATATTTTTTATACATTTAAGTTGAAAAAAATACACATGGTCCATGATATTAGCCATTAGTATATTTTTTACTTGGTAACATTAGCTTTTATATATCCGGTGATAACGGTAATGTTGAAAGAGTTTTTTCAACAATGAAAATAGTTAAGAATAGAATCATAGATAACGCAATCGAATGGGAGATAATTTAATAAATGATTGTTTGGTTAATTATTTTTATTAAAGAGATGTGTTTGAAAGCGTTGATAAAAAAAAAATTATACAATGTTTTCAATGTAGGAAAACATGTCGTGAATAATTGCAAAAAAGAAAATATTTATTTATAAATGTAACTTATACTTATATTTGTATGTCATTGAGAGTAATATTAAATTTAGTATATTGACATCACTAAATTTGAAACTTGACTCCACTACTAGTTGGAGGCGAGAGAAGATTATTCTTTGGAGACAACTGTCTCCGAAGGAAAGGGAGAGAAAGGCTCTGCCACGCACCACACACCAGTATTGTGGCGCGTGGTGCTCACGCGCCGCAATTTAAAATTTTGTAATATACAAAATGCTAATTTGTTCCGTAGGCGAATTTAAATACAAATTTTAATTTATTAAATTATATTTTGATTAGTTTATAAATTTAATATTTTATAATTTAAAGACTTTTTTTTCATTATTTAAATTTATTTTTATTTAAAATTGAAATTATTAATTATAGAAAAGTGAATAAAAACAATCCTTATACCATGAACCAATGTTCACAATGGTGCATGCGTATGTGTTATATTGTTGGTTTTTGTGTTTGTGTTATGAACTTCTGTACTTTAAGTGCAGTGTATGAATTCTTTACATGAAACAAATTAGTAATTGTTTTATGTTATGAATTTTTGTGATCTTGTATTGTGTAATTTTGTGCCTACGAACACACATTATGTATCTAAATCAAATTTGTAAAATAAGTAAATATATAACATATGCATGTGTATTGTGTTATAATTTTTTGTGTGTGTTGTGTTATGAAATTCTGTACCTTGCAGTATGAATTTTGTACCTCGTCGTTTCGATTCAATTTTGGTGGGTGTTTTGAACTTATGGCAATAAGACATTTTATTCATACCATTTGGTTACACAACTAGAAAGCATATATGCCTGTTTACAACATACATGAGTTTAATTGTATCCTAATAGTGTGACAAAAACCATAATGATCAAACATGGGATAATGATGATGTAGTCAATGTGGACACAAATTCATCAATAACTTTGTCAGAAGTCCCACCTTCACTCACTGCCTCCTTAGCCAAATGACTCCATTTCATTGCATTTTCCTTCATTTCTTTCCCTTCCAAAACCTCCCTAACACACCCCTCTATTTCTCCCCTACTCACAACCCCATCCTCACCAACCCTAACCCTCTTCCCAACCTTCCACACATCCACAATCAATTTCGCATTCATCGTCTGGTCGGTCCACTGCGGCATCGCCACCATGGGCACCCCGAGGCTGAGCGCCTCGATCGTCGAGTTCCACCCGCCGTGAGTAAAGAAACACCCCACGGCCTTGCTGGCCAGCACTTTAAGCTGAGGGCTCCAGTTCACGATCAAGGCCTTATCATCGTCGCCGAGGAAATTCTCCGGCAACTTTGGTAGCTCGGAGTCCCTAACTACCCATAGGAAGTAAGTGTTGGTGTTCTTGAAGCCCCATGCAAGCTCTTCCATTTGTTTTTGGTCAACGGATGCCATGCTCCCAAATGCCACGTAGATGACTGAGCCTTCAGGTTTTGTGTTTAGCCAATCAATGCTTTTTGTTGGGTCCATGTGGTAGAGGTTAATGCCATATTCGCTGTCGTTTTTGACTCGGTTGTCTAAGTATAACGATGGGACTGTCGGTCCAATTGGAATTACTGGACTCATTTTCGACATCGTATCCACTACCTGTCCATACCACAAAATTACAAGTTTGATTTTTAACGAGAGATCAAAAAGCGATCTATTAGCTAACCTAATTTCTAGATTTAAACCGATCCGTTATAGGCAACTTATGCTGATTTATCTCGTTGTAGTTGAGATTTTAGTTGGGGTTAAATATATATTCTAGTCTTTTTTATTTGAATAAAGAAACACCAGAATAGAAGACATTGGAAGTTTTCATATAGATTAATACAAAATATCAAACATTATTAGAAAATTAAAGTCAAACAATACTCCAATAAAAAGTAATAACAAATATAAAAGTAGTTCTTTTAGTCAAATTTTGAGTGGTGTCAATTGCACAACAATAAAGACAGTCCTTGTAGTTGTTGTTTTCATTTAGGTCCTGTTTGGTAAAAAATTAGTCTATAGGCCAATTTTAGCTTATTTGACCACTATTAATTGTTTGATTTAGTTAAAATATCAATATAAATGTTTAGTTAATTAGCTTTTTGCAATTCCAAAAGGCTAAAATTAAAAAAGCTACTCCAAGTAACTTTTTCAATTAACTTTTTGAGAAAAGAAATTATATTAAACAGCTATCAGCTAACAGCTAATTTACCAAACACTTTTCTACAATCAGCTAATGTTATCAACTATTTATACCCTCTAATTAACACAATCAGCTAACAACTAACAACTATCAGCTAACAGTCATTTTACCAAACAGGGCCTTAATATTTCTCCAATTTTGTACTCATTCAACCTGTTATTGTATATCTTGTTTGATTATTGTTCGACGACTTAAATTTTATATAATTTTCTTTTAATACAAACTTTATATAATTTTATCTTTTGTAATATTTAATTTATTATTAAGAAATATGGAGCAAAGTTTATATACCTCGTATTTAACAAGTATTATATAGGAAATGTTTTATTAAATACAAAATATTATATTGGGAAAATTGATAGATTAGATTTTAAGAATAAAATTTTCATTAATTGCCTATTATTCATTTTGAATGTATAATATAACAAAATTTAATATCTCACCCTCGAAAATCCAAATTCACTTTTACATGTTCCAAACTAAAAGGAAACTCCACTAAAAATGACTACATTATATTAAACGCTATTTTCAACCAATTTTTTTCCAACAAATAGTAGACAAAAAGGTACAAAACATAAACCAACGAATTAAATGCTCCATTTGATATGTCTCGTTCAATTAATTTAACTCACATTATTTAATTTTTACTAATGAAAATTTATATTTTAGGGATCGAATCCATGACTCCTGATTTTAGAAGAGTTAGTCACTTCGTGTCACTACAGTACAAGGTCATTGGCTAATGAAAAATTATATATTTAAAAATAAATAAAAATATTAGTAAGTGCAAAATTAAAGATTCAATTTAAAATACTCTCTCTCTCATTTTATTTGTTCTATTTACTGTTCGTCAATCAAAATCAACTCTTTTTTTACATTAAGGGTCCTCACACCCCGACACGACAGAGCATTTGGAAGGATGTAAATCATGGTAACTCAACTGAACATGAATCACAGAGGCTAGACCGTGCTCACTGCGCACAAGGAACCCCTCACTTTGAGAGTTACGCACAAGGAACCCCTCACTTTGAGAGGTATCATGGTAACTCAACTGAACATGAATCACAGAGGCTAGACCGTGCTCACTGCGCACAAGGAACCCCTCACTTTGAGAGGGTGCTCCTACACTGTGACTGGTGAGACTCGATCCCCGATCATTCTTCTAAAGTTTCACCTCTGTAATCAGTTGAGCTACCCATGCGGGTTTCTTTGCTTATTTCTATTAGTATATTCTTATAATCTTTAAAACAAAGGAGAGAGTAGAAACGAAGCTAAGACAGACCTGAGCCTCCAGCTTGTAGAATGAGTTAACGAAAACGCAATCGGCTTTCTCCACATTCAAGAACTGGTGAAGCACCAACTCAAAATACGCCGGATAAGATCCATGGACGTAGATGAACGACGGCATGTCGCGGAGCTCCAGCGCCGGCAGCCCGGGAATCCTCACCGGCGGCGAAGTCACCGGCAGCTGCAGTATCCCATGGTGCGCGCAGTAATACACGTAGTTCACGGCGCAAGCTTGGGTGAAAAAGCAGCCGGCGAAGAGGCCATGGCTCTTGGCCACGTCCAGAGCCCAAGGCATGAACGAGTCGTATATAACGCAATCGACCGGAGAATCGGAGTTTTTGTACCTTTCGATGAGGTCGGCGAGGGTCTTGGAGCCGGCGACTTGGAAGCGGTTTAGGTAGTCGGGGACGCTGTCGGCCTGGAGGAAACCGGCGTCGTCGCAGCCGTCGGAGATGATGTCGATCCCGACGGCGTCGGAGACGGGTTTCATGGAGTTGGAAATGAAGGTGGTGATGGCGAGAGTGGTTTTGAGACCTTTGGAGACAAGGCGTTTGCAGAATTGAAGCATGGGATTAATGTGGCCTTGGCTTGGATAAGGAATAGCTACAATATGTGCTCTCTTTTCTCTCTCCATTTTCTTGCTCTTTCTCTAACTTACTACTAGATAGTAGATAGATACTTTAATGTTAATCTCCAATTTATAGGTGTAGAAAGAAGCACTATCTTTAGATACAATAATCCAATTCCAATTGTGGATATTGGATACAAGCTCGAATCTGGCAACTGTAGTGAAAGTTATATCTAATGTGGTAAGAGCAACTAGATTATCTAGTCACTGTAAATTTGACAGAGCATGCGAGAGGATATAAATATGGTCAAATGTCGGTGCTAATAAGAAGTTTGTTCACTTTGAACATAATTTCAACTCTATTACTTTTGAGTTTGAATCTTGATCTTATTCTTTTAAATATATTTGCTTATTAAACTAGTGAGCTAAGCATATGCAGAATACGGAGACTCTGAGAGCAAGAAAATTTTGTTTTTATGACTTTATTCAATTAATTATGCCTTTTAAAGCAAAATAGACTTCTTTTAGATAATATTTTTTGTAGCAATGAAAGTCAAATATTCATATTGATATAATAATTGAGGAAAAATCCGTCACGACTTCTTTTACATAATCCTACCATAGAAAAGAGGGAAGTTTAGCTTGATTTGCAAGAAAGTTTGAGAAAGCCAAGAGATATATATTAAATTATTAATTGTGTTAGTGACAGCGTATATTATGAACCAAATTAATTGTGTTAGTAAATATTGGCTGCTTCACTAGAAGATTTCATTATATTCTCAATACTTTTATTCATATGAGCGTCATTAAATTCCACAATGAGTCGGTTATCAACCTTCAATTTTTTTTTAAAGGATTAAACCAGAGTTTTTACCCATTTTGGTTCTTTAACTATGACTCATTCTCAATTTTGCATTTCAATTTTTAATTGCACTTAATGTGGTCCATTGACTTAAAAAAAATTACCTCAATTTAATCCTCGTTACATTTTCCATCAATTAGGCGTTAAGTTGGAGGTATTTTGGTCCATTCAACAAAATATGAAGCCGCCGGGGTGAGACGCCATAGACGATGCGATCTCATCGTCTTCCATGCCGTCCGATGAGGATACACACTCAATGCTATCAATCAAGAATTAAGAAAAAAAATCGAAGAACAATGTTTAGGCCGTTATCGAACAGAGTTCTAAGGCTGGGCTCCCGGCGAATTGCGGCGGAAAGGGCGGTGGATTTTCCACGGCTCTACCACGAGATGCAGAGCGTGGTAGACTAGTACAACAACCCCCGCAACGTTGGCTCCTTCGACAAGAATGACCCGACGGTCGGCACGGGGTTGGTCGGCGCCCCGACCTGCGGCGATGTGATGAAGCTCCAGATTAAGGTCGATGATGAGACTGGAAAGATCATTGACGCTTGTTTCAAGACCTTCGGATGTGGCTCCGCTATCGCGTCCTGATCTGTTGCAACAAAGTGGGTGAAGGGAAAGCAAATGGAGGAAGTGCTATCCATCAAGAATACGAAAATTGCAAAACATCTCTCTCTCCCTCCTGTTAAACTCCACTGCAGCATGCTCGCTGAGGATGCAATAAAGGCTGTCGTTAAGGATTACTACTCGCTGAGGAAGAGAAGATAATCTTTGAAGGGGACCGGAAGGAAATCGATCAGTACTTGCACGCCGCCGTTCGAAGTGGAGTTATTGTCCGACTTGAACTCATCTTCTTCCTCGATCAGCTACTTCGCCGCCTCCATGGCGATGGCTGTGCAGATCGGCAGCACCGGAGTGCAGTCGTCTTCTTCCGGCGATCTCCTCCATCACCTCCATATCCCTTTTCCTCGATTTTCTCTCCCTCTCCCACTAGGCAACAGGCGACGATGTACAGTAGAACAGAGCAGATCGACGGCAGAAGCAAGTGTGGGTGGTCGGCGGTAAGCTCAGCTGGTTCTCGTCCGGCAGTAGCAGAACTCCGGCGAGTGCAAAGGAGCCTCCTGCAATGGCGGTGGTTGGGCAGACTTCTTCCTCTCTCCGGCGTGAACTTGGACAGCGTGACCGAAGCTCCCAGGACAACCAGCTCCATGATTCACGACTTTGATGAACAAAATGGTCAAATTGGGTGGAATGGACCAAAATACCTCCAACTTAACGGCTGTTTGACGCAAAATGTATTCGAGGACCAATTTGGGGTAATTTTTAAAAGTTCAGGGACCACATTAGGTGCAATTGAAAGTCAAAATGTAAAATTAAGAATGAGTCATAGTCAAGAGACCAAAATGGGTAAAAACTCAATTAAACCATCTAAAAACTTGATAGAGAAAATTAATTATAAAATATATCTCAACTAACTTCAAATCTTCTGTAAGAATTAAATTTTACACATTACAATTATGTTCCAAATATTTATACACCTTTTTTATACGACACTTTGATCTGTCATAGTTAATAAAACAATACTATTAACTTATTTTTATTTTCAAAAAAAAAAAAACTTATTTTTATTTAGTAAACAAGCAGTTGAATGTATCCCCAAGACACCCTTCAACTATTAAGAGATGTGATTTTGATTAATATTTTGTCCATTAATTTGTTGATAGATAATTTCATGATTTAGAATTTTAATTTAGTGTTATCTCAATATTGGTTATCATGGTTTACATATACAATTAAAAAGTGATCATGGTCTAATACAGAACCGGACCTTAGGAGTACCAAGGTTTTATTTTTCTAGCATATGTTTGTATACTCCCCTGGGGAGAACATATTGTCCAAACATGAGGAAGGTACCAAATCTTTATAGAAACTGCGAAAACGTTCTAGCATTATACTCTGGAGTTAAATTTGAAATCTTGTAATTATTCGCTTTCCCACCCCATTATTGAAGGAGATTGCGAGAAAAGACTTATATAAGGAAAATTTCTTCTTCGCTTCAAATTATGTTGGGGAGATTGTTCTATTAGTGATGTGAACGAGATCTATTTTTATTTTATTTTATAACTTGAAGACCTGGGAGAGCACTCGTGACTTGGAGAGAGCTTGAGATAAAATTTTGATGGTAAATGGAGTGTGTTGGCTGAAAATGGAAAGGGAGGGAGGATTAAATAGAGTGTTGGGAGGTGGGGGAAAATAGAGGGGGAAAAAGGGATTTACTAATTTATGAAATTCAAAAAGAGGTATGGGAAAGAGAGAAAGTTGATAGTGATGTGAGGGGAATTTGATGAGATTTGATGTGGGTGATTTCCAAGACTTTTATAAGGCCATCGAGAGCATCCACATCAATTGGGGAGAATGAGGGGATAATGTAAAAGTGATTAGGAAAGAGAATGTGGGAGGTGAGAGAAAAAAAGAAAAAAAAATAGAAAACTGATTTAAAAAAAAAAAAAAATTAAAGCCTTGTCAGGCACGCTGACAGCGCTGTCAGCGCGCCCGTGTGGCACATGACTGTGCGCAAACGCGCACAACATTTTTTTTTTTTCTGACATTATTTTGTGTTTTGCAGGACAAATATCTCCTCAAATAACTCCACTCCACATTTGCTATTAACCCCACCCAACATAATTGTTATGACATTATCCCCATATTATCCACTAGTGTGGATGCTCTCAATAGATGAGTTTTTAGGTGCCAAATAAGAGAGAGGAGAGAGAAAAATGTGTGAAAAAAAAAAGAAAAGAAAAAATAAAAAACAAAGCTGAAAAACTCTACCCACAAACTTCATTATCTCTCTTGGTGGGACACACATTTATGACAAAATTTCCATTCTTGCAGGAGGCACTCACCCCTCTCTCCTCTCTCCTCCACATACCCATTTTTTTCTTAATTCTTCTGCAAAATCCCCTTGCTGGAGATGCTCTAAGGAAGTGGTGCACTTTTGTAGGGATTCTATTTCATTTGGTGAGAATTTCGCGGACGGAGGAGTTCATTCGCGTTTGGACTCTGCAGAGATGAGGTTGGTCCACATGAAGCCCGGGGTACTCACGCAAGGAGGTCGGGATGGCGCATTGTCTTACTCTCATTCGTTGTCGACTTCTCACAACGAAGAGAGTGGGGGACTCATGATGGATATATTATGACCGAAGCGGACCGACCCGAGAAGTTGGACCTGGAACACCCCAGCCCAAGCCACCTCCCCTCAAGGCACTTGGGCCTTGGTTACTTCGGCCCATGGAGCTCGTCCAGGTTGAGCTCGGGCCATAAGGAGCTCGGTCGTGTCGAGCTCATCCGCGCGTTGGACCCGGTCCCGGTTCGGGACGCGGTCAAACCGGAAGTTCTAACCACCCCCGGTTTAGGGGGTGCGGCTGGGGGTTTAACTAGTATAAAAACCTCCCACCTTGTCCTAACAAGACATGTTCAATCTATTCTAGCTACTTTGTCCTAACGAATCATTGTAATAGCCTATTTATGGCACTTCAATATAATATACGGTCTCCGCGACCTTTACGACATCGTTCTATCCTTTTATTATTCACGTTCTTTACCGGGTTTAAGTAATTCGGGTCCACCCCGGGTAATTAAATCCATCAAATAATCAATATCAATACCGTTTACACATGATATCATTATATATACAATACATAATTATACTATGTATTATCAATAATAATTTTTAATTATAAGTTAGTTATGTAACGATTGACATCAATTGATACTTTATAAGTTTCCACATAATACAAAATATATACAATAATAATCTTGTTTGTCACTCTTTTATCAAATAAAAGTTGTCAATTATTTTGTTGGGAGTTAATACCCAAAATGGTCTTTGACTATAGTGATTTTTCTCAATTTCGTCCTAAACAACTTTAGTGACCTAATGTAGTCCCATACTTTTGTATTTTTGCTCAATTTAGTCATTCGTTTGTTATTCCATCAAATTGGTGTTAAATAAATGGACAATTCAATAATCTCAATATTGACCTCTATTTACTCTCAGCCCTGCGAAGTGTTAAACCACTCTTTCTTTTACGAATTACTCCCAGACCTATGGATCAAATTTTATATTTTCGAGTTTGGGAGTAATTTGTAAAAGAAAGATGAATTTCAGACTTCACAGGTCTAGGAGTAAAGAGATGCCAATATAAAAATTACTGAATTGACACTCTATTTAACACCAAATGGACTAAATTGAGCAAAAAAAGAAAAGTC